ATTTGCAAATATGAGCTTTAATTTATTAACTTCACTTTTAGTACCAGCAAGGACTCTTTACACTATTCGAAAGATCATACGAAAACACCGTCAAATCCTACCTGAAACTTAGATAGCGCTTTTATATGGGTAAAGGGTAATTAATTTCGAGGTTCCCTACTTTTTTTTTTTTTTAAAGAAAAAACATAGAAATTTCGAATTTAATGAAAAATGTTTATTATCAGTCGAATGAACATTAATGGCATTTATTTTTTCACGATTATCTATTTCAAATGTTGTGCGCGACTGCGCCTCAGAAACACCATCCGCTGAATCAAATTTTCGATGACTCATTCGAGTATTTCGACAAGTAACTGGCAAATGACAGGCGTAAGGTTTTGATCCAAAGCCTGAATCGAAGCGAGGTTCTTCGTTTCCATATCCCTACATGAAAAATTCTAAAAATGTGATATCATACAATCTTTGTGGCGACCCAAAACGTGAAATTATTTGCCTACCGAAGTGTTCTCTCAAAAAATACATTGCCTGATGCGATGTGCGGGTAGTGGCGCCGTCAAATGTCGCCGAGATCAGTTTCTGTCATAAAAAAATCGGTTATCATGGCGCGATAACGGTCGTCTTTGAGGATTACGTTCTTAACGGCATCATTTTTGAAAAAATATGTACCGATGATTCCACCGGGCCACAAACCACACCAAACCGTTGTTTTTTCAGGATGAAATGGCGGCTCTTGAACCTCTTCGTCTCAAAAGTGGCAGTTTTGCTTGTTTACATAACCATTGAGCCAAAAATGAGTGTCATTATTGAATAAAATTTGGTTCGAAAACTTCGGATCGCCTTGGCACGTTTCAAGAGCTGATAGAACGAAGCGGAGTCAGATGGGAAAGCCGTGCGGCTTCAGTTCTTGCGCAAGATTGAGATCTCCACGTAAAATGCGCTAAGCCGTTCCATACGTCAGTTACTGCGAACGGCGCCGAATCGACTCTACACGGTCTTCCTGTACACTCTGAGCTAAGTATATTTCCTTCACTGCGTGCTGGACGTGGTCTGTTCAATCGAATATTATCCAATAATGAATTCTGGGTCTCTCGATGGGTGATGGTGTTGCGAATAATAAGTTCAGTACCCCGATTATGTTGATCATAAGTTGAGCGAAGCCCGCGAAAACATTCCTTACAGAACGTGAATTGTCGTAATAATGTTAAACAATTTCTTAACGTTATCTAATATCGGCGGTTCCGACAAATGAGCAGCTTTTTGGGAAAGTCCCGTTATGTTTGTATATATACTTTCTAGGTTACCCATCTGCTGTTATAACAAATATTATATTTTAGCTAATAGCCCACAACCTGTGAGCGGCATGGTTGTATTTTGTATAATTTTTGTTCAGGGATTTGCTCGAAAACTTGCTAATAAAACTGTCAATACCGCTAATACCCGATAACGAATGATTTCCAGTTATGTCAATCTACGCAAATATATATGTATATACAAATAGGAATATTTATGTACTTATATAGACAGAAATATACCCTTCAAAGTTTAATCCCAAGCGTACTTTGAAAACGTTTCACAAAAACTAACAAAATATCAACGAAGAACTATAAATTATCGCGGCTTTATCAAATCAGAAAGCGCTGCGACAATGGCAGTGGACGCTGAACAAACAATTGACAAGAAAATAAAAATAATAAAAATTTAAAAATAAAATTTGACGGTAAAAATCCCAAGAGGCGCGCACGTCAGAGGTAGAAAGACGCACTTTTTGAAGCACCTATAATAGATATAGACACTTACATATGCACATACACATGCATATGCATGAAAACAGCTGAACATATGTAAGTGCCTTTGAAGAAGCAAATGAAAGGTATGATGACTTCTAGTTTTCTATATATCTTACCACTATGCGTCATGCCCACAACTACAAATCGCCGCCACTTCAACCTACTACAACAAGAACAACAAACGTTTATAAAGTGAGCCAATACAGATGTCCATACGCAGCTATCGCGTCGCATCAAACCCCCTCACCCTAGCCCTAAAAAATCGCCAACAAAAGGCTTTTGCACTAGAACGCTAATGAAGCACTGACACTCATCAACGCGGCCAAAAGCCCAGCAATTTAGCGAGTTTTGAAAAATCAGCATTGTTTTTCTTATAAAATCGCTTATTTTGTATTTATGAAAATCTTTCGTGGATCTTGGCATATAAACCAATATGTAAATTCGCGCTAAAATGTTAAATGATGTTCTACGAGTAGTATCGAAACGAATGTCCGCAACGAAAGTCGAGCGATATGGACGGGAAGCGGTTTACCGAATTGCTTTTTTCGTATTTTCATTCCGAAAAGCGTGAAGTTGTTTAGTGCCGCGCAAATTGTTGTTGTAACTGTGTTCTTTTCCTCTTTGTAATCGATCGATGTTGATGTATCGAAACGAAGCTAAACGACGAACGGTTGCCGAACGAATTATGTTAAATGCAATTGACAACAAAAAAAAATAAAATAAAAAAAAAAAATTGAAAAAAAAAAATACTGGAAAAATTTTAAAAGTACCGTATTGTATAAAAATAATTCAAAAGTCAAGAACTGAATAAGGAGACCAAGGTGAATCTACTATTGCTATTGGTGAATCGAACATGCTTAACCACAAATCATGATTTCCTGGTATTTTCGTAAGCCTCAGGACTGCACTAATATACTGTAAAGCCCGCTTAAATGCCTCACAAAAACTCCCACCTTATTGGGTACTTAAGCGCTGTGGGTACTTAAAACAGCTCCTTAGTCCTTCGATGCGCGCATGAAAGCCAAAAATGTTGGTCACATAAACGTGTTCGGTACTTAAGCGGTTTTTACTGTATTATTACTTAGATTTATTCTGCAGACTTTTCTAGTACCAGACCAGCCTTTTCTAGTATCAGACCAGACTTGGTTCTCAATTGCGAAGTCTTGATAGACTCGAATAATTATTTCCTCGTTTTTTTTTTTTCTCCTATTGTCCTTATAGAGACTATAATCCATCTGCTGTCTTTTAAAGTCTGGGAAATGATTGATTACTACATTATGAGATTGTAGCTTCAAATATCGAGGCCTGGCGGCAGCCTTTATGAGTCGAAAGATTAAAAAGTTTCCGATGGAGAAGTATTAAACTATTAACGGGCTTGGACAAAATCTCTATGAGCGTATATTTAACACAGCGTTCCTAGTGTCGACTTTTCAGATAGTTGTCAATCCGTCTGACTACTATCAATCTAACCTTGCGCTGCTCAAGTTTTCCTAAGCAATATTTCCTTCCACAACTAGATGATCTCATAACTAATTCTCAATCTGTTTATAAAACGCTCCAACATTTCGTAGTAATTCGTGCGAGCCATTAATTGGCAATTACAATTGCTGAATGCGCTTCTGGATTTGTGTGAGCATACATATATATTTACATAAACAAATATTTTTGTAGATAAAAATAAATGCATTTGTGCAATTCTCGCAAGTAAGAAATCATATACATATATATATATATACTTATTACTGGTTTGAGAAAATTACGTGATATATTTATATGTGTATGTATATAAAAATGTTCATTAAAAAAAACTACAAACTGTTATAACAAAAAATAATAGAAAATTCGTTTGCTTCCATCCTACCATTTGGTATTGCTCAGTAATCCAAAAATAGTTCAAAACAGAAACTCTCTACTTGCTGCCTTTTGTGCTCACCTGCTTCTAGTATAAAAATATATGTACTAGGTGTGTTCAGAAAGCAACGGGAATTTTAAAAATTCCGCGTGTTTGAAGAGCACAATTGTCAAAATTATTTTATTAGTTTTCCGGTCCGATAAGACATCGTAGCCGATTGGAAGTTACACCACGACAACGCCCCGGCTCACACCGCCCATCCCAACGCTTCTGCAGCCACCCTACAGCCAAGATGTAGCTCCCCCGGACTTATTTGTTTCCTTGCGTGAAAAGGTTCAATAACTTTTTTAAATCGATTCAGTCTTATTACTTTCCGGACAAACCATGTAGCTTATAAAAGACAGATATCAAGTTCTTGTCCTTGAATTTTTTTTTAATTTTACGGAATATCTTAACAAAATTTTTACATGGATCAATATTTGAGGCAATAATCTAATACCCGAAAAAATTGTTCCGATCGCATCACTACAGGATATAGCTGCCATACAAACTGACTGTTCAAACTCAAGTCCTTTTATGGAGAACTTTTGTATTTGACAAGATATCTTCATAAAATTTAGTATGCATTATTCGCCAAAACAAAGGTATATTAAAATCGATATATAGATATTTTTATACCCCTTTGTATTAAAAGGAATGTACCTGTGAAAGCTATTAAAGTTTTCGTGCTACCGAAATTAACGTTTTTTTTTGTTTTAATTTGTTTTTCTTTGTGGACGCTTTTCATTCGTCGTGCAATGATCCAGGAGAGTGCTCATCTTAGTCATAAAAATTCCATTACACGAATAAACAAATGTGCAATTCACTTTCATGACATTCGCAAATGTGGATAAATGCAAATATGCATGTACATATGTATATATATATATTATATGGCAGCAGTTAAAGCAGTGCTTCCCAAACTTGTTAGTGTCTTACCTGATGATAGTATATAAAGTAAAAGTAAAAGTACTAAATCAAGAATATAAGATTCTAAGAGCTAGTTGATGTCATTTGAAAGACTTTCTCTTTTTCATCATTACAAAAAAATATCTTATTTTAACAAAAATTTGTAGTTTCTGCCACTTAATTTAGCTTGAGAACCCCTGCTTCAGTCAGCAGCTCAAAATTCCTCATTACACACATTTGCTTGTACTCAGTTATGCATCACCGTTAACGTATGCCTTAATGCAGCGAAGTCACCTGGCCTCGTAGACATTGCTCATACAAATATAGCAACAATAACAACAACACTTCTTAATCACTTTGATTAAAAGCTAACGTTTTTCTACATAAACAAATTTACGTTCTTATCTTTTCAGATATCATTTTCGCTTATCGAAAATTTATTAACTTCTGTACGAATGCTGAACTTGGTGCTATATGTGAAGCAGTTAGACATACATACAAACAAACATACATATACATATAAGCGCTTACCCCATAAAGAAACGGAGTAATAATAAACAAAAGCGAAATATCTAGGATTATTTTGCACCGTGGAAGCAGTTCGCCGCTTGTCATTTTAATCGAAGCGAACGTGTGAAAGCATCGAGACGGAATTGAAGCAACAAAAATTCCACGCAAAATACAGACAAACATACACACAAAGGAAAGTAAATTGATTGTTAATTGCAGTAAGTGCCGTTAGAAAAGCAAAGAAACGCTACAAGCGAAGCAAAAACGCATTTACGTTGAGAAATTTCGATTGTCCCTTGCAATACTCCTTGCATTGGTGATTACATAAGCAGCGAAATTGCAACGATAACGGCATGCGCTTGCTGCAGCTGACGTCAAAACCAGATAACACAGACAACAGATTAGTGAGCTGCAAAGAAAGTGATTTACATTTAAGCTGAAGGAAAAATCTTCTAGAAAAATTTCATATAAAAGAAGATCTGCACACAAAAACAACATGGAGCATTTGGATTTAGCTGGTGTGATTAATACACCAAACTTATGGAATATGTCGGCATTCGATCAACAAGGTGAGTGGAAATGCAGACCTAGAGGATTGCATTATGTAGACTCAAGTAATATTTGATAAAGTTGGGAGAGCTAGAATATGCTACAAACAAAGAAAAAAATATATATCAAAACATAAAGCGAATTAAGAGATAGGCGATTAGAATATTTACCTACTTTGGGTTGTTGGGTGATCCATTTCGAGATTCCATACTTAAAAAAACTTTAAATTTAGTGGGCTAGGTTTGTTATCATTCGAAAGAACATTATATGGCATTTATTTTTTGAAGATTATCTCTTTCAAATGTTGGCCGCGTCTACGTCTCAGATGATCCATACGTTGGGTTCAATTTTCGATGACTCGTTCGAGCATTTCCACTGGTAACTGGCGAATGGCAAGCGTGATGTTTTGCTTCAAGACCTGAATCGAAGCGGTATTACCGGCATAGACTTTAGACTTTAAATATTTCTACAGGAAAAAAATCTAACGGTGTGATATCAGACGAACTTGGTGGTCAACCGATGGGCACAAAACGTGAAATGTTCTGCCAATGAATCCATTGATTGATGCGATGTGTGGGAGGTGGCGCGGTCTTGTTGAAACCTCCATCTCCGAGATGAGCTTCAATTTGAGGCATCAAAAAGTCGGTTATAATGGCGCGATAACGGTCGCCATTGACGGTTACGTTCTCGCGTCTATAGAAAACGCATATAGAGCGAGCAATGTCACTTTGGAAGGTCGATCTTCAGCTCTTACACAATCTGTATTTTATGTGCTTTAAATTTAAGTCCTTCCAAAAGTCAGTCCGAGTATCTGCGAACGGCAACGAATCGACTTTGCGCGGGCTTCGTGTACACTCTCTCGTGTAAAAGAAGCGTCGAAAGCCGGAGTGCAGAACCATAAACCGCTAAACCTACCCTGCTCAGAGTCTTCTATACTGTCCGAACATAGCTTCCAAAGCACCTATGAACACTGAGCATTGGGGCTAGGTGAAAATCTAGGTTCCCTTGTTGTCTATCTATCGACAAATGGTTGTCCGATATCTCTCTGTTGGCCCACCGTCCTTTGGATGAAGTTTGCCACGGTTGCTGGCACATGGTCATACTTTAGAACTTGAAATCCCAGCAAAGTTAATACGGCTGACGTTGAGCAACACCAAAAGCTCCATCAAGATCGGGAAGTACCTCTCCGAGTGGTTCGATACCAAGCGAGGTTTCAGGGGATTAGACTGCTTTTCGTGTGACTTCTTGCCGGAGAAAATAAAACGCGCTGCAGAACCAGGTAACATCTTCTATAAGAGTATCCAACAGCTGGCGTACGTCGAAGATATTGATGATACAACAGCGCCATTACTTCTGCTTTCTCCCGACTGGATATGGAAGCGTAGCGTATTGATCTGGTTGTGAACGCGGACAAGACCAAATATATTCTACTATAAAGCAAAGCGTGACCGCACTCGCGTCACTGTTGACAGCCATAACTTCAAAAGTTTGGATAATTTCGTCTATCTTGGAACCAGTATCAGCAGCACTCTTGCCACTTCGGACTAAGTAGGCAATTGAGAAGTAAAATCCTCTCTGGACGAACAAAGACCAAATTCTATAAGTCGCTCATCATGCCCGTTCTGCTATAGGATAAAACTTGATTTTTGATTCGATGGTCTTTAGTTTCGCTGTTCGACAACTGGTATAAATAAAATAGTATTCGAAGCACACAATACATACGCAACTTTCTATTATTTATTAGCAATTTATGCTGTCGCTTTAATTTGAGGTTATGTCCGACTATGTACAAGTTCATTTGTCACATAAATTTGCAAAACGCTTATTGCAATTAATAAATTACCGCAATTTGCCATAAATAAAAGAAATGACAGGCGAGGCAGCATCGCGACTTCGACTTTCTTCCTCATCAGCTTGCAACATTGCAGTGGAGGCCGCTCAAGCTTAGTGAGCCACTGCAATGCTAAGTATAGAAGCAAATATTTTGTATGCCAACGCTGACCTGGGCGGTAATACGCCTATCAAGACGCCGACTGACGACGAGTGCCAGACGAAGGCCGAAAAGGCAGATGAAAGAGCTTCGCTTGTTGTTGCACAAACGCTGACATTTACCGGCATTTTGATGTTGCACACTGTGGCGCATCAATGCACATCAAGCTGAAGCAACAAAAAACAAACAAAAAAAAAAAACAACAACAGCAGCGATGACAACAAACATCGCCGCTTCTTCTTTATCTGCACTTAATTAATAAATTTATTATTAACGACGATTGTCCGCCGTGGCCCAACATGCGAGATTCAGGCAAGTCAGCTAGGGCCGAACAAGGCAAGCGCTACGTCAGCACAAATGAATCGTGATCATGAATGAATCATGCATACATAGATACACATGTATTTAGCACATAATGCTTTGAGTTCGAGACTCATGAGCGCTGTGCTGGCGGCCGGGGCTCAGCTTTAGCTGTATGATCAACTGTGAAAGGGAAAATTCATGCGGCAGCAAAACAGACAAATCAACGCTGCGGCCCAAGACGTTGAAGATGGGTAATTGTGTTGACTTCCCTGCTGCTGCCAGCAGCGCAGCGCCTCAAACTGGATCTTTTTTGGCTTTTTGCTTTGTTTTTATTCATCTTCTACTTATACGCTTGCTTTGCTGTTGGTTGTTGTTTCCATCAACATCAGACTCATCGTCTGTTCCCCAAACTGCCTGACTTGCAGTCTTTGTGAAGTATTTCGGTCCGCCCACCGCGAACCCGCTATCCAGCGATCAGCATGATCCTACACATATGCACATGAACACGTATGCACAGAATGCAATCAGATGCGAGACAGCTGCAGTGCCAGCCATGGCCGCCGCAGTGTTGGTGCTCATTGCAGCTACGACGAGCTGATCAAGCCGCTGAAGCGGTACATTGCTGAAAAGGTCTTGTTGCTTAGTTGAGTATTGGGCGCGTTTAGAAACGGTTTAGCCTTTGTGTTTGTTGGTAGCCGGCGCGTGGCTTAGAAGCGTAGCGAACGAAAATACACTTATAGGGCATAAAACGATTCATACGAAAGAATGCGCAAATGGCGTGCCCAAAGCTTAGGTCTGACTTTTGAACTTCAACATTTGTTTTTTGGTTTCGAATTCTTAACAACACTTAAACCCAACTTTTGTTTTCCACAGATGCCATATATTTGTCCAGTTCGAGACAGATGCTGGAGCCAATACTGGAAGAGACGTCGGAGGATGAGGAGCATGCACAAAATAGCTGGAATCAGTACGAGCAGACCAGAGAACACTTTTGGAGTTCAACGGAATCGGAGACAGGCTCTGTCATACGAGTCGAAGTTAGCAAAGGTAATAAGAAACTCTATTTAATTGTAGCCGATTGGATTTGATAACACTGCTTTCTTTACAGATCCCGATTCGATCTCAGAGCGCGATTTCGCCTGTCCTGCCAAACGTGCGCGACGCTGCGATGACTTCATAATCGGCGGTCAGCTGAGCTCAGTCGCGCAATCCGCCAACACACAAGCACAAAGCCAAGCCGCACAGCCTGCGTCTGGCAGTTACGATGACACAGTGCTCTTGCGTCGCACGCAACGTCCGTTTGATTTCAATGAGGCGAACAGCAACAGTTTGGAGCGCTTTCTCGCTTACGAAGCCTGCACACGTGACAGCTGGGGTCAGCCGACACAGCCTGTGGTGGCGCAACGTAACAGCACTGGCAGTCGTCGTTTCGATGAATATTCCGATTCGGATAGCATATCCTATCACTCACTCAGTCGTTCCTCCTCGCTGATACAGTTTGAGTCATTGGAACGACAGCTGCAGTTGCAGGAGCAGCATGCGAGCATGTCCAGTTTGGGCAACTCCTCACCCTCGCTGCTCAGTTTCGATGGCGCACGCAGCACCGGCGCCTTGAATGGCGAAGACGGCACGCGTAGTGGAGGCAACAGTGGCAGCAATTCGGGCAGTAATAGTCGACGTGGTTCGCAAAGCTCGCTGCTGAAACGTTTTGAGTCCTCCGATGGCCGACTGCATCAGACCTACTTCGATTTGGATAAGTTGAATTTCGATGATGATCAGCGTGTGCTATTCGGCGCGAGTAAGGCCAATTTGATGGAGGCTACGGTGGGTGAAGTTAAATCTGACTCTGAGTCATCTACCAGTTCGAGCACTTCGTCAGGTAATAGCATTTTAACCGCATCCAAGCCCTCGGCGGAAGATTTGACGGACTCGGGTAGCACGGCGGGCACGCGTAATGGCCGCATCATGGCTTTTCAGCGTGCCGGTAAGAGTTCGGCGGAGAATCTATCGGAAGACTCGGGCTACTGTGAACCGTCGACGCTGCGACGCGCCAAATCGAAAAGTATACCGAAGAATTTCGAGAAATTCTGCGAGGAGGAGGAGGAATTCCAGCAGTACGACTACACCGTGGAAAGACATACCGTCGAGGCCATTGACAGTGTGACAAAAACAGTACATCCACAAGAGCAAACACAACAACCACATTCCAAAAGCGTCCCCAACCACAATCAACACATAAACACCGATGTCGCGTCCACAAACCATTACGTCGTAGGGCATGATATATGTCAGCCAAAAATAAATGACGCCACATTCATCGTAGCAACAGACGACGAAACGTCATTCAGTGCGTCAACCACACCACCGCCACTACACAGAACATCATCACAAACACCAGCCCTCAACGGCGGGGAAGACGAACGTGAAGACGATGTGGACGAAAGTGATGAGGAGCGCAATTCAGATACAGAAGAAGCTATTGGCTCGCGCTATGTATCGGCGTGTCCAACGTATGAGCATGTTAAAAATAGCCCAACGCGAGAGGCGACCGCTGCCGCTTTGTCGCTCGAACAGCGGCGCTCGTTGGCGCACTCGCCTTCGCCTGTGGCGTCTGATGTCTCATCGTCGTCCGCGGCGTCGGCCTCATCAGGCAGCAGTTGCGGCACCGCGCGATCGAACACCTCAGCATCCACATGCGCATCGGCCGCCTCGTTCACATGGCTACCAACACCGAAACAATTGCAACAGCAACAACAACAACTACAATCACAATTAGAACGAACGCAACGTGAAACGCCAGCATTCGCCAAGTTAGAGCTATTAGCGGCGCAAAAGCGTTCGACTCTCGAGAATTTTTGTGCGAGTCTACGGAACAGTTTGCCAGATATACGCGACGCGTTAAGTTCTAAAACCTGCGATACAGTTAACGAAACATATTTTCCCGTTTTATCGGAGAAACGCAACGGTAGCGACGTGAACGACACAGACGATACCCACGGCCACAGTCTGGAGCATGCACGGAGCGAAACGAAGACGTCAGAACATGAACTTATAGATATTGAACGGTCGGACGGTGGTGCAAATATAGCAACATACAATTTAGACGATTCGGACTTTAGTACGACATCGACACCGGCATCGGGCTCAGCATCGGCGCGTGAAAGTCACAGTGACGAAACGGACAACGAGTCCACGCCAGAAGCTAGGAAACGACAACGTGTCTACAACAACACTGGCGGCGGTGGTGGTGTTGGCTGTATTGGTGCAACCGAAAGTAGTGTTATTGGTGGTTTTGGCGGTTACGTCAGTGGTGGAAGGCGCATATCGAGTGTGCCAAGCGAACTGAATAAATTGGGACGCAGAAAACGTGTTAATACGCGCTATAGACAGAGCAAATCATCGCCCGAAGAGGAGGCCACAAGTGAAACTAGTCCCAGTAATTCCAGTGTAGACGAAGCTGAGGACGAGGACTTCTTCGACACCGTGACCTCGTACCGCATACGACGTACTTGCAGTTGGTCCGAACGGCGTGAACGCAATCTACAACGTTTCGAGGCGGCGTTCGGCGATAGAGCGCAACGTGAGGGTCAACGTCATTGGGCCAGTCAATCGCTGGGTTATATGAACGCTAGCTATCAGGACCTGACGCAACTTGATTATTCGGGCAAGCAGCTGGAGGCGGATAAAAAACGCCTTAGTGTACAGACTAATTTGAAACGCTGCTGCGACTACTTAACAAGTGAAGGCGAAGGTGAACGCGACTCGGACAGCGAAAACATGGACACGCCCAAGAGTACGGCCAGCGCTGATTATGAGCATATAATTTGCAAAGGCAATTTCTTGCTGGATGAACTGTCACAAATATACGATCGCAACGTTTCGATTTTAAATGATAAACCGATTGAAGCCGACGAGCATTTACTCTTGCCCACAACCGAAGACAACGCGGAGCGTCCGAGCTGCAGCCCGCGGCCACCGCCTCGTCAGCGCAAACAGTCCAACTCAAGTTATTCGGATATGGACAGTGTTGGTGGCAGTGCGGCTTGCGCCGACGAGCAAGTGGCCGTGGCGCAGCATGTGCAATTGACCATACGAAAACCGCCCGCGCGCCAGAAGCACGCACGCAAATCCGAGGTCACACACAGTTTAATTAGCGACGCGCCATTATTTTCGAGTGATACAACAACCACAAATACAGCGAGTGTGGCCTACGGTAAGACCTTCGATCAGGATCCAACCAACTTGCATACCAGCTATACGCAGAGTTTGGAGAAATGCAACTTCGATCCGAAGGAGCTGAGCAACAGCGAGTTGAATAAGTCAAATTCGATACCGAAGCGTCGCTTTCACTCGCAAGCGAATGCCGCGAAGCAGCGCAATATGGTGTCCAGCACGCCGAACCTAAATGCCTACGATCCGCATGCGAACGATGTGGAAGACGACATGTACGTGTCAAGCGCACACACTTCAATGCATCAGCTGCCGCTGGGGGCCACACAGAAGCCGCTGGGCATACTGCTGCCCGCAGGATCGCGCACCTCTTTCAGCAAGGAAGTCAGCTTCTGTCCAGTGGTCTCACAGTACTCCTGGCAAGAGCAATCCTCCGAAGAATACGGTGAACAACATCAACACCAGGATAATGAGCATGCGGCGGGGGCGGAGAAGCAAGAAGATACAGACGATGAGCTGCTGGACAATGCAGATGCCACGGTAATACAGAATACACGCGTCAATGAAATGATTGCGGCGCGCTATGCCGCAGAATTGAAGAGCGCGCTTGCCGCAGGCAACGCAACAAAGAGTGTCGCGCAAATAAGAGCGGTGCCAATTGAAAAAGTAAGAGCAATGATTATTGTAAGAGAGCGACAAGCGGCTGAAGAGCAAGAGCGAGAACGCGCGCGTTTGCAAGAGCGTCCAATAGGCTTGGGAGAGTGTGACGCTCAAGAGCAGGTAGAGAGCAGCAATGGCGTGGAAAAAACATCGCACAAAGCCACTGACTACAGCGTTGAGACAAAGGGAGAAGCATTAAAACTCGACTCAAACGACAGCGCTGTCGCTAATAATGCAGACTACAGTGAGACGGTGAACGCTGGAACGGCGCAATCAAATGTTAGTCACAAATCGACGATCATTGAAGCAACAACGAATGTTGTACAGGCGGAACCAACGGTCAACGTAAATGCAACTAGCGAAAGTAACGTTGTTAACAACGAAAGCGACAACGACGCGCAATCTAATCGGAATAGCAGTTTTAGCGGTGTCAGTGGGGGTGCGGTCAGCGGCAACGATAACGCCAGCGATAGTTGTAACACGGCTGTTAGCAGTGCAGAGCCAACGCGTCCGCTCAGCATACACCTGCCGATATTGAGTGAGCCACCCATAAATCGCGCGCATCACATACTCTACGCGTCGCAACAACTACTCGACAAATTCGAGCGTCGCGAAAGTGAGCAATATTACGGTCAAAATAACGGGCCCAAGTGTGAAAGTGCTATAGGGGGTGTGGGCGTGGCCGATAGGCGTGCGAAAAGTGTGGGTAATTTGAGTGCGGCGCAAACGGCACGCTACAGAATGTCGAACGCTGCAGTGGGTGTGGGTGGCCAAGGCGGCAGCGCTGCTGCGGCGGCCAACAACAACAATGAGCTCTTGAACAAGAAATTCAAGGATGAGAAACATCCAAGTTCTAAAGGTTTTCTGTCGCGTTTCGCGCACGGCTTGCGTTTCTCGCTGAGACGCAAAAACAAAAAACAATTGCAACAACAACAACAGCAATTGCAGGAGCAGCAAGACGGCGGCGAGCTGAACGGTGTGGACAAGTCGACAATGCGTAAGAGTTTCGGTAAGTCAGCAACATTGCCACATATAAAACAACAACAAAATGTACAACAGCAACAAAAACAAAAACAAGCGTCTGTACAACAAAACAAGTCGTCAACGCAAAATAACACTACACGTGCAACCGCTCAAAGCGGCCCCGACTATATTTACATACCGCTAAAAGGTCCTATACCATCAGCAGGTACATTTCCACAACAACAACAACAACAGCAACAACCACCATCGCCAACGACTTCAGCGAACGGTAGCAATTCGGCTACATTGCCGGCCAACTTCAGTCCAGCTGTTGCAAAACAACAAATGCCGGCAGTAGCAGCAACAACAACAAACGCAAACAATAACAACAGCGCCACCAACGGCAACGCGAAACCCGCCACTATCAACTCGAACAAAAGCGGCAGTGACAAGAATACTATGCGCGCCATCACAGACCGTAACGGCGAGCCGCTAGTTACCGGCAAACCGCCGAAGCCCTATCGTTACGGCGGCATACCGGCCACCACCTCTAGCACGACCATAATCACCAAGTACTTTGGCAGTGGCCGACGACATGGCGGTGGCGGCGGTGTGCCGGCACATGCGCACAAGGATGGCAATGGCATGCCGAATGCAGCCAACTTCAAGTCGCGTAGTCAATTCTACACTGATTTCCTCGATGCCGAACGTTCGTACTACGATGACGATGAAATCGAAAAACAGTTAGATGCGGGCTTGCAAGCGAACGGTAACGCAGTCACAGCAACGGCAACGCCAACAAACGACGCGCCCGCTAATGTGACAAGCACGTCGGCCGTAACGGAAGTGCTGTCACAAAAAACGGGAAGAGAAAACAACCAACGCGACGCAGATAGTTCGAGTGAAAACGCGAGCGTTGGAACGGCAACAACAGAACGCAAATATTCGGTGGAGTACGAGACTCCGTCGGCGGCACTAGAGACGGCTCAAGTCGCTTACTCCTTGCCGGGTGTTACACGCGAAACCGTTATGTTATTAACAACCGGTTCCGGCGTGGCGAATGCCGGCGACGGCAACGGACGCATTGTCGCGCCCACCTACACAACCATGTCGAACGCGTATTTGCAACATACCAATAACAATAACAAAATCGGTTTAATCGAAACCAATTTGGACACACACGAAACGGTCATATCGGGTAAGACGCGTTCGCTGGTGGACATTGTCGGTCCACAGCAGCATCAACAGCAGTACGTTGTTGTTGGTGGTGCCGGCGGTGGCGGTGTGGCGAAACGTTTGAATATGAGCGCGGCTTGCGGCGGTAATGCGGACTTGGATGAGGACGATGACGATGACGATGTGCGTGTTTACGGGCGCGATGTTGGTGGCCGGGGCGGTGGCGCTGTTGTCATCAAGTCAACAACAGCTAATGGCAGTCAGATAGCGTCGGTGCGTCGTCCGCACAAAAGTATGGAATTCCTGTTGGACAAGGAGAATCAGAAAAATGTTTTGGTGAGTGAGTGCCATTTTTATTTTACTGAATATTGAATGGTTTTGCGTAAAGTGGTTATGAAGGCGGTAAATAATAGGTTGACTTATGGCTATGTTTCCTGGTTGCGAGAGTAAATTAGTATAACGTGCGATACTTTCGTTTAGTTCTAGTTAAAAAGCAAATATAACATCGTAAGAGACCATTTTGTGGGGTATTAAATTTTTTCCAAAAAAAAAAAAGGAAATTTTTTTTTTCAAATTTTTGGATGAGAGTTTTGAAGTTTGCTATCTGATGATTTGAAAAAAAAAATAATAAAAATAAAAACAGCTCTAAGACCTTACAGAAAAATCTCATATTTGCAGAAGCTTTCTCAAATGTGTTTAAGAACCTATTTTTTGGAGTACCCAGCGAAAAAATATTAATTCTTTTTGACTCACACTAATATAATATATACCATATGTCAGGTTAGGTCAGTTTAATCTGGCAGTTAATCTCAGAACCTCATAAAAAACCACATATGATTGTAATATTCCAAATTGTATTTAATTTTTCTGTATGTCCATGCTGATATTTGTTGTAAATAACAGTTAGGTTTTGTAAATTGGGTTTGTGATATGCAATTATTTCATACTGTGGTCGTTTCAATGCATACCTCTAATGATTTTATGGTTTTAACCTCCTTGTGGTTTGTAAAATAGATAAGAAGTACTATTGACTTCCTATTTTTCAATTTTTAATTTGTATTTTATTATCATAATGTTTTTTTTTTATCATAAGAACTTAATGGGTTTTTATCAGCCTATGATTTGATAAGCATTTTGAAAGCCTAAGAATAGATCAATTCAATTATATATTAAAACAATGTTTTTGCCTAGTCCAAAACTCAATGCTTTTTTTGATAAAAATTTAATTTTATAATAGCAGTATTGATTAGTTTAGAATAGAAACCAATTGGTTCTTTATAATAATAGAAAATAACTAGTACTTCGTCGTATGGCCGTAGTTGGTTAATGAATCTAGGCATGGAGTTCGCCAAACGCCTACATATCTCGAGAGGAAAGGCCTTCCACGTCAACTTCACAGCACTCGACCTCCTATTTAACGGGTTGTCTCTCCCTTCCTCTTCCATAACCTCTGCTTAAAAATTATCAATTAGCTCAAAGACTCTCAACTGACTTATGTTCAGATGGCTAAACCAGAAAGCACTTAATTTCAACTATATTTGGAGTTTAATTCAGTTTATTGCATCATTCAAGTTGGCCTTCATGTTTAATCCAGTATAGGAACCTTCCTTAGTGAGGGAAGGTGGTTTTTGTTACTTCACTGTTGTCCGTGAAACATATCTGGGATCTAATGAATCATATTCTGGCCTTCCTGCATACATACATACTATCGACGCCTCTGGAAACCAAATAAAATAATTTTCGTTTCGTCAGTCCACAACATGTCGCGTAATCTTTCAACTGACCAATGTCTAGGTGCTCTTCAAAAAATTGAGCTCTGTCCCGCTCTGTGCCGGGGTTGAAGTAGTGGCTTCTTTCTTGAGCTTCTGCCGAAAAATTTGTTTGTTATCATTGTTATCAACTTTTCTTCCTAACACCAAGATTTTAGTCATCTTTAATTTTTTTCCCCCTCTTTTTTTGTTTTGTAAAAAGTGAGGCTTCTCGGGCCAAAACTGCAACTTTCCACAACATGGCGCCTCCTTTTTTTTTAATTCCAGTTTTTTGGCGTTATCAACTATTTCGGCAGAACACCTGAGCAAATATTCGATGAACTTCTAAGATTTTCCTTTCACCAACCAAACAATTGTTGATATGATTCCGTTATTATTTAGAGCACAGCCAAAAAAGTGCTATGTATTCACTACAAAACTGTTGAATCAATTGACTGTGGCTACATTTTTCATTTTTTAGTCAAAATCTGTCAAATACATCACAGCAAAAAACAAAAACAATGTAACACAAAATATAACGCCACTTCATAAATCTGATAACTTAACAAAAATCAATTTAACAATTCTTTGCCTCAATATAATAACCAAAAATCAATTTAAAACGAGTGCTTGATAACCAATATATAACCGTTTTGCATTCTAGGTGATGGTATACACAGTTTTTCAATTTATTAGTCAAAAAATTAACGTAAAAAATAAATGTAATTGGAGAAAAATACTATATATTTTTTCTAATAATTATTATTGATTAATTATT